TGTCTTTGTTTTTTGTTACCAGGGTAATACCAGCTTCATAAAATGAATTAAAGCATTGTTCCTACCTCTTCTATTTTCTGGAATAGATTAGGTAGAAATTGGTGTTTATTCTTTAAATATTTGGTAGGATTCTCCAGTGAAATCATCTGGGACTGGATAGTTCTTTTTCAGGAGTTTTTAAACTACAGTTGAAATTTCCTTAATAGATATAGTGTTATTCAAATAATCTATTTCATATTGGGTAAATTGTGATAGTCTGTATTTCAAGGAATTGGTCAATTTCACTGAGGTTGTCAAATTTATGTGTGTATACTTGTTTATAGTGGCCTCTTAGTATCTTTTCGATGACTTCAGGGTCTATAGTGATATCACCTGTTTCATTCCTGATATTGGTAATTTGTGTTTTCTTCTTTTTTCCTTTGTCATTCTTGGTAGAAGTTTGTCATTTCATTGATCGTTTCAAAGAAACATCTTTGTGTTTCATTGATTTCCTCCACTATATTTCTGGTTTCTATTACATCGATTTTTTTTGCTCTTTATTATTTCCTTCTTTCTGCTTGCTTTGGGTTTATTTTGCTCTTCTTTTTCGAGGAGCTAGGAGGAGCTAAGCTTATTGATTTGAGAATTTTCCTCTTTTCTAAAATAAGAATTTGGAGCTATACATTTCCTTCTGAGTGCTGTCTTAGCTGTGCCCCACAAATTTTGATATGCTACTTTTCCTTTTCATTAAGTCAGCCTCCATGACACCCAGGGAGGAGAGGATCCTTGTTACTGCCCAGCAGGGTGGGAGCTTCAGCTCCCCACATGGCTCCCACTGTGGAGGGTGACCTTGCTACTGCCCAGCAGGGAGGACGGTTCAGGCTCCCCACTTTCCCTTCTCTGATCCACCCCGCTCACCACTCTGACATGGGGGAAGGGTTGAGGCACTTCATTACAGCCTGGCAAGGGTGAAAATCTAGGCTCCCTACTCTGCCTTGTTGGTGGGCATGGGACCACAGTTTTTTTCTGCGTCGTCTGGCTGGAGTACAGCAGTTATTGTCTAAATTTTCTGTTTTGCTAGGCGGTCCCTTTCCTGGTCCTTTGACTCAAGAGCAGGATTTTCTTGGGGCTTTTTGTGTCTGCACCCACTGGCATTTCCAGGCTGCCAGCTTCCTCAGGACCAATCTGGATACATGAGAAAAAAGAACCCAGAGAACTCACTGCTGCACCATCTCACTGGTGTGCAGACCCCAGGCCAGTCTGCCTTCTCATCTCCTTTTCAGAGTCTTATGTTTGCCTCGTACAGGCTTTTAGCTGTACTTAGCAGGAGGAATAGGAACAAGTGTTTCTCCATTATTCTGGATACAGACGTCCTCTGGCTGATTTTAAGATTTTGCCTTTTCATCACTAGTATTGAACACCTTGATTATGCTATGCCATGGTGTAGTTTTCCTCATGTGTTTTGTGCTTGGGGGTTACTGAGATTCTTGGATAGTGGGTTTATAGTTTTCATCGAGTTTAGAAAAGTCTTGGCCATTATTTCTTCAAATATATTTTTTTTCTGTTTCCCCTTCCCTCTCCTCTACTTTAGGAATACAATTACACATGTATTAAGTGGTTTGGATTTTCCCCACAGCTCACTGATGGTCTTTTCAGCATGTTTAAATCATATGGTACTCGATTTCACTTGGGATACTTCCTAGTGCTATGTTTTCCCTTTTTTAAGAAAAAAGTTTGCTGGAAACACTTCTTTGGGGGAGGAGACACCACATTTCTCAATTAAGAGAAACATTTTTAAAGTCCGGAGATCTTTTTTTTTTTTTTTTTTTAATACCTATTATGCCAAGAATTTATAGGGAATGGGTTCCAACAGCTCAGGCTCCTTTCCACGGTTCTCACAGGTGCAGAACCAATGCCTGCATTTCTCCGGGTGGAGCCCCCTGGGTTTCAGTTGAGCCCAAGTACCTTTTGCTCTGGCTGCCTTCTTTTTTCTGATCATTTTCCTTCACATGTTTCAGGAAGCTATCTCAGCTCCTAGAGTGCTTAACATGCTCAATATGTACATTAATTTTCTTGGCAAGACTCTTGCCCTTGTTTGTTTGCAGCTATGCTGGCAGCATGTTGGGAACACACCATAGACTCTTCCAGTTTTGCCGTGGGAACAGCGGTGGGCTTTTCTTTTTGAGTAGTGCCAATCCCCTGATGTCAACATCACCTTTCTTGTAGATTCACATGTATGTGGCCAAAGGAACAACTCCATGTCTTCTAAAAGGCCTAGAGAACATTTATCTATCGGGAGCCTCTCCTCTTTCCTTTTGTGTTGGTCATTTCGGCAAATTATCAGAAGATAGAGGTGCCAGCCCCAAAGCTAGAGCTATGTGTCCAAATTCACTAACCTTTTCTTCTGCAGTGTTGAATCTACCATTAATCCATCTAGTGTATTTTTCATCTCAGATATTGCAGTTTACATCAATAGAAGTTTGGTTTGGGTCTTTTTTTTTTTTTTAACTCCCCTGTCTCTACTTTTTTTTTTTTTAATATTTATTTTGGCTGCGCCGGGTCTTATTTGCACGTGCAGGATCTTTGCTAAGGCATGCAGGATCTTTAGTTGCGGCATGTGGGCTCTTAGTTGCGGCATGCGGGATCTAGTTCCCTGACCAGGGATTGAACCTGGGTCCCCTGCATTGGGAGCATGGAGTTTTAACCACTGGACCACCGGGGAAGTCCCTCTACTTAACATTTGAACACACGGAGTACAGTTATAAAAAACTGTTATAATGTCCTTGTCGGTTAATCCTAACATCTGTCAGTTTTGAGTTGGATTAAATTGCTTTACTATTCTGAGTCATGTTTTCCTGCTTCTTTCCAAGCTGGGTAATCTTTTTTTTTTTTTTTTTTTTTTTTGCGGGTCGGCGGCCCCCTACTGTTTTGGCCTCTCCCGTTGCAGAGCACAGGCTCCGGACGCGCAGGATGTGCAGGCTCAGCGGCCATGGTTCACGGGCCCAGCCGCTCCGTGGCATGTGGGATCTTCCCGGACCGGGGCACGAACCCGTGTCCCCTGCATAGGCAGGCAGACTCTCAACCACTGCGCCACCAGGGAAGCCCAAGCTGGGTAATCTTTGATTAGATATCAGATCTCGTGAAGTTTACCTTGTTGGATGCTAGGTATATTTTTTAAATTTTCTATAAACATGATTGAGCTTGGTCTGTGATGTACTTAAGTTACTTGGAGACAAGTTTGATCCTTTTGTGTCTTGATTTTACGATTTGTCAGGCAGGACTGGAGCATTGTTTAGTCTGGGTTCATTATTCCCCATTACGGAGGCAAGATCTTTATGAGTACTCTACTCGATATTCCATGAATTCTGTGTCTTTCCAGTCAGACTAGTGGGAAGAGGCACTGTTCCTGGCCCTGTCAATCTCTTAACACTGTTCCCTCTAATTCTTTCTGATGAATCTTTCCCTGGTCTCAGGTCGTTGCCTCACAGGCATGCACTGCTCACCACTCTGCTGAATACTCGAGGGGGAACATCTGCAGATCTGTGTTCCCTTTCTGCCCAGGTCTCCTGCCTAGTACTACGCCAGGCTCTCTTTAGCACGTTCCCTCGATGACACTCACACCCCGGGTTCCATTTATGTCTCTATGCTGACCTCTATCTTCAAGCCAGACAAGAGCGGAAGCTCCAGATCCGTGTCTCCAATGGCCCACCCTGCAGAGTCCCCTTGAGTGTCCCATGGGCACACTAAATACAACCCATCCAACACTAAGCTCACCATCCTCGCCCCAGACTTGCTGCCTCTCCAGAACCCGTCTCCATGAATGGCACTGCCATCTACCAGGCCAGAGACCTACGAGTCGGCCTTGCACCTCCTTCCACCTTACTCCCACCTTCTGTCATCACTGAGGGCCATCAGTTCTGCCTTCTAAACATCTCTGGACTTTCACCATCTCTGCCGCACACCAAACCACCACTGCTCTCAGTTGCACCTCTCTTAACCCAGACACCTTTCCTTGAGCAAAACTTCTCAAGTGCAAGTCTGACCACAGCACCCCCCAACCCCGCCCAGTGAGGACCTTCCAGTGGCCTCCTGTGTGCTTAGATAAGGCTCAAACTCCTTTCTGGGGCAAATAAAGCCCTTGATGATCTGCTCCTTGATTAAGTCTTGGGCTTCTTGCCCAGGGCCCCTCGTATGTCTTTATGCCTGGAGAGCTGGATTGTAACTGTTTAATTAAACCACCTCTCCACTAGAATGCCTGTTTTCTAACGATGGAGGTTATGCCTCCTACTACCCTGCGCACAGTCCATATAGTGCGTAAGAAGACAGGGCTGTGAAAGGCTGTAATTTTGCTTAAGAATGCCGTCTTAAGGAAAATACTTCCGGCCGCAGGTTCCCCATATGTAAAATCGGTGCAATCGTCACTCCTCTCTTTTCTGATATGGCACAATCAGTAGACAAAAAGGGCTGGCTTTGTCAACCAGCGCGCCAGAATTTGGTCTCCACGCATTTCGCTCAACCATCAGAGCAGGGCCTGGCCCAGATGCTGGGCCCGACGCGGGCGAGGCCAGCGAGGCGCCCAGGGCGCAAAATGTCAAGAAGCACCCCCTTTCGGGTTCATGCAAGCGCACGCCGCCCCGAAAGCGAGTGCCTTCGGGCATGCGGCGTCCGGGGCATCCGGCTGGCTTCGCCGGCTTCAGGTCCGCACCCACGGGCTTGCTGGAACGCGAGAGAGACTACCCTCCCTCGGGCGCTGGGCCCGCCCCCTATGCGACTTGGCTTCCGGCACCGAACTAGACGCCCTGCCATTGGCCGTTGTCCCGTGACGTCACCAGGGAGCGCCCGCCTCTGCTGACGCCTTATTTAGAGGAGCCGCGCGGCGACCAGTGCCGCAGCGTTAGAAGTACCGGCCGGTTGCGGTCTCTGGGACGTAGTACCTGTGCTCAGGCGCCTGGTGACCTTGGCCTCTGGCCCGCGAGTCCTATCCCGGCAGCACAGGGCACCAGGTAGGTTAGGTTTAGGCCAGACGGCGGGGTGCACCGGGCCTCCGGCTGAGGGCAGGACTGGACTCTGGTGCCCGGCCGCTCCGACCACACGGACTGGGCTGGCGGGCCCTCTTGGGCGCCCACTGAGTGCAGGGGATGGAGCTGGCCATACAGGGGAAGTGGGGGACTGGCACAGGGGCCCAGGCGAGTGGATGGTGGGACGCGGTCCCAGGTGCAAACCTTTGTCTCACTTGCGCCGTTGCCGCTCCATGTCCCTGCCTCTTTGCTTACGGACCCTTTTCCAGAGTTGGATTGAGCTCAGGCTCTGCGGCACAGTGGTTCCCGCAGGAGCAGCGGGACCACTTTCAGGTACCTCAGCAGGTGACTTCACCTCCTTCAGCCTCAGTGCCCCTTCTGTAAAATGAGGCGCTCAGCCTGAGGGAATTGCTGGAGGGCGGAATGAGAACCTGCAAGGGCCTGTCATGTGGGAAGGGCAGTCAGTGGGGCCTGCGGTTATCTGGGAGAGCAGGTGACCAGCCTTATCCCTGAGGCAGTAGCCAGAAGGAGATCCAGTTTCCCCTGGGGCATGCAGGGTGTTGCTGGGCCTCCAGAAGATTTCCTGTTGGAGGTTCCTACTTCTCACCACCACCTCTGGGCTAAAGTGTCCAACTCCTCACCTGGACTTGGATTCAAGTCCCAGTTCTTTACTGTCCTTGGGAACTTGGGCAAATCCCTTATCCTCTTCGAGCCTTAGTTTTTTCATCTGTGAAATGGGACCAACAGCCCCTACCGTCCACAGCTGTCAAGAGAATTAAATCAGCCATTGTAGGTAAAACAAAGTAACACCTGGCATGCAGTGGGATAATAATCTTAGTGTGTGGAGTATATGAGTGCATACATTTTAGCTTGAACAGCCCCTGACAGTGGCATGGTTGGTGCTTGTGTAAGACAGGAGGGTGGGAGGTTCAGAACTCCTGGTTTTCTGGTTAAACTCATCGGCCAGCACAGCGATCAGATCATTGACCTGGATCTAATGAGTGTTTAACTGAACAAGGTAGATGGAATCATCAGAGAGCCAGGAGTCTGGGATGACCTCCACGTGCTTGAGCATAAAGGGCTACTTTTATTTTTTATTTTGTTTATTTATTTTTGGCTGCACTGGGTCTTCGTTGCTGCACGCGGGCTTTCTCTAGTTGTGGCGAGCGGGGGCTACTCTTCGTTGCGGTGCACGGGCTTCTCGTTGCGGTGGCTTCTCGTTGCGGAGCACTGTCTCTAGCCGCGCGGGCTTCAGTAGTTGTGGCACGTGGGCTCAGTAGTTGTGGCCTGCAGGCCCTAGCGCGCAGGCTCAGTAGTTGTGGCGCACGGGCTTAGTTGCTCCGCGGCATGTGGGATCTTTCTGGACCAGGGCTTGAACCCGTGTCCCCTGCATTGGCAGGCGGATTCTTAACCGCTGCGCCACCAGGGAATCCCTAAAAGGCTACTTTTAAAGGCAAGGAACCATGAAGAGGAGGGACTGTTGGGATGGAGGCCAGACTCAGAAACAAAAGAAGAGAATGGCGTTTGTGTTTGCGTGGAGCCTAGAACTCAAAATGGAGCCTGAGCCTTGTTGATACTTTCTAAGTGATATTAGGAGGGAAGGCACAGCTGCCCCTCCTGAGGCTGACAATCACCAAATTTTCCCAAGTAGTGAAAAGTCAAGCCCCTGCTTCTGGCATTTGATCATTGAACAGAGAGTAGCTGAGAGCCTTCTGTGTGGCAGGCACAGTGCTAGGCACTATGGACTCGGCAGCAAAAGAGACAGTTGTGGCCCCAGAACCCAGAGGGCAGATGGCCCTGTGATGCCTGTCAGGCGTAGACCCTGCCCTCTGTCTGCAGCCTCTTTCCTAGGGCAGCCTGTACTCCAGCACAGGAGCCACTAAATAATTACTGCCTGGAGAGACAGCCGGGGGCTGCTCCTAAAAGGCTGCGACAGCTTGGAGGGGGGTTCTGGCTTGGTCATGTGAGCAGTGGAAAGCATTTTAAGTAGGAGGGCAACAGGATCAAATTGGCATTTAAAAAACTACCTGTAGCAGCTGTGAAGCCAGTTTCACCTGTGATCTCTTGCTCACGCTGGGCCCCACTCTTAACTAATTCCTAGCCCTGCTCATCTTAGCCCAGCCCACACTTCCTCAAGAAACAAAGACAGGGCCCTTGATCTACACAGCAGCAGTCCCAATTGCAGAATCCTACTTAACGGCATCCGTTGTTAACATCAGTCTCCCCTGCAGGCAGGATGGCAGGGCTGAGTGTGTCTGACCTGCATTGTCTGCCCGGTGCCCCAGTGGTGCCAGCTACAGTGTAAGCTTTCAGAAAGCACTGGTTGACGGAAGGCTGGAATCCCTGGGGCCTAGCTCAGTGGCTGGCATGAAGTAGTTGCTTCTCTAGAAATGTTTCATTTGAAACACGTGAAATAAGTGAAAACCTGGACCACTTCCCATGTGGTGAGCCACGAATGGCTCATGGGGCAAGAGGACTTGGGCTGCAGCTTGAGGAGCTCTGGGAGCCCCGGTGATGGCTTCGGACTGTCTCCATCCCCTAGGACCCACTTTTTTCTCCATAGGCTCCGATGCTGGTCTCTGGTAGAAGAAGGTGGCTCACGGCTCTGCTGCAGGCTCAGCGTTGGCCCTTTCAACCCTCCAGAGACATGAGATTGGTGCAGTTCCGGGCACCCCACCTGACGGGACCTCATCTGGGCCTGGAGTCAGGGAATGGTGGAGGTGTCATCAACCTCAGCGCCTTTGACCCCACACTGCCCAAGACGATGATAGAGTTCCTGGGGCAGGGAGAGGCCGCTCTCTCAGTGGCAAAGAGGTAAGTCAGCAGGCAGCAGTGCCCTGCCGCAGCTGCCCCATTCCCCCTCCCTCCTCCCACCCGCCTCCTCTTTTGCACCCCAGCCTTCATTTCTCACCTGTTCCCTTAGTGAAGAGCCTTAGAAATCTTTTATGACAACATCCTCAGTTTACAGAGGGGGAAACCAAGGCCCAAGGAGGATGATTGACCATCCGAAGGCCACACGCTTGGTGGTGGGGCCAGAATTCTACTTTGTCGCACTGCCTTCCCTGGGAGATTAAGTTCCTGCTTGCGTGAGGGGCTGGGACCTGGGATCCTAAGAGGCATCTTGGAAAGTTCATTAGGAGAGAGGACTGCAAAGAGTTCTTAAAGATGGTTCTTGGGTTTGGGCTAGATTAGGTAGAGGCCTCCCTGAAGCCAGGAGTCCTGTGGAATCTGGTCTAAAGGTGTTGATGAACAGTAAATTAAAAACCGCTTTGAGGGGACTTCCCTGGCGGTCCAGTGGTTAAGACTCCACGCTTCCACTGCAGGGGGCGAGGGTCTGATCCCTGGTCGGGGAACTAAGAGCCCGCATGCCGCGTGGTATGGCAAAAAAACCCCTCAAAACAAAAAACCACTTTGAGGTGTCATTTTCACCTATTTAACTGACAAAAAATACAGATGTTTGACAGCATACAGTGTTGGTAACAGTATTTTTCCCCTACTTTCATATTCTCGCAAGATGAGAAACTACTTCTGTGTCCCTCATTAGAAAATTGGGTGTATCTCTACTGTGCAGTAATAGGCAGCCATACGAAAACGAGGAAGCTGTATACTGTTATGGTGAGATCTCTAAAATATATATATTTTTAAAAGGTATATATAATTGTGCTATCATTTGCATAAAAAAAGATGGGAGGGCTTCCCTGGTGGCGCAGTGGTTAAGAGTCCGCCTGCCGATGCAGGGGACACGGGTTCGTGCCCCGGTCCGGGAAGATCCCACGTGCCGCGGAGCAGCTGGGCCCGTGAGCCATGGCCACTGAGCCTGCGCGTCTGGAGCCTGTGCTCCGCAACGGGAGAGGCCACAACAGTGAGAGGCCCGCGTACCGCAAGAAAAAAAAAAAAAAAAAAGATGGGAGAAGAGTATACATAGAATGGCTGTGAAGAGCTACGTAGGACACAGTGGTTGTCTCCAGGGCTGGAGCAGCGTGACTAGGAGAAGGTGTAGAAGAGAGACCTTTCCATTATTCCCATTTGCACCTTTTGAATTCTCTTACATGAACATGTATTACCTAATGGGGGAGAGGAAATCAACACTGGATAAATATAGACAGTGCTCTGATATCAAAGGACAGTAACTGGGCTTGATTTTCCTGCTGACTCTGATGGTTGATCTAGAAAATACATTTTAAAAACTTGTAGCTGCTGCAGGATCTCCCCAGAGTGCCGCTCTCTCCTGCTCTGGTCTCTGCAGAGCCCTGGCTGCCCAGTTGCCAGTCCTACCACGGTCAGAAGTGACATTCCTGGCTCCAGTTACACGGCCAGACAAGGTGGTGTGCGTGGGCATGAACTATGTGGACCACTGCAAAGAGCAGAACGTGCCTGTGCCCAAGGAGCCCATCATCTTCAGCAAGTTTTCCAGCTCCATCGTGGGGCCCTACGACGAGGTCGTCCTCCCTCCTGAGAGTCAGGTTGGTGCCTCCCCACTGTGCCCCCGAGTCACTGGGGCCCATCACACAGGTGCTCAGCCTCCAGCCTAAAGGAACCATCTATTGCTCATTAGTGCATTAAACAGAAACTCCAGGGGATTATACAGTAATAAGACTGCTCTCGGGGGTGGTGGGGGGAGAAGTTAATTTATATCTTTTCCTGATTACAAAAGTAATATACTTGCATTATAGAAAATTAGTAAAATACAGATAAACGTAAAGAAAAGTCACCCATGTTCCCACTGCCCAGGGCTTGCAACATTTATGTTTTGCTGTATATCTTCCCAGTGTTTTTCTGTTCCTGTTTCTATTTATACTGTACATATGCCTACCATTTACTTAAGTCTGCAGCAAGAACATTCTTCATGCCATTAAATATTCTCCCCTGACATTTTTTAGGTTACTGCTTAGTTTTCTATTGTATCAATGGCCATAATTTATTCAGTAGTCCTCATATTGCTAGATAGGTTGTTTCCAGTTTTTAGCTTTTATAAGTAGTGTTGCAGTGAACCTCCTTATAGAAAAGACTTTGCACATCCATGAATGTGTGATTATTTCCTTTGAACAAACTCTTAGAATTTGAATGTCTTTGTCAGAGTGTAGGCAGGGTTTCAAAAATCAGCCAAAGTGACCTTAAGAAAAGTTGCAAAAGCAATTTACATGTCTACCAGCAGTGTATGTACCCTTACTAATACTTTCAAATTTTTAGTTTAGGAATATTTTGGAAATTACAGGAAAGTTGAAAAAAAGTACAGTGACTACCCAGACTCTTCACCTGGATTCACGGTTAACATTCTGCCATATTTGCTTTTCCTCTCCCTCCTTCTTCCTCCCCCTGTCCCTCTTCCTCTCCTTCCCTCATGTCCCACGGGCACACACACACTTTTTTTGGAGGGGGAGTGGGAAGAACCTTTGAAAGTAAGTTATAGACATTAAGACAGTTCACTCATAGAAACTTCAACATGCATCTCCTAAGAATAAGGACAATGTCCTACATGACCATAATACCATTATCACAACTAAGAAAGTTAACATGAGTAATATCTAATATACAGTCCAATTGGGAATATTCCCAATTGCCCCCCCAAAGATGACTTTTAATTTGGGTCCTGTTTTGTTTTTTGGTTTTTGGTTTTGGTCCAAGATCAGTCAAGGTCATACATTGTATTTGGTTATGTCTCTTTAGTGCCTTTTATCTAGAACAGGGATCCGCAGACTTTTTCTCAAAGGGCCAGTTAGTATTAGGCTTTGAGTGCCAAATAGTTTCTTTTGCAACAGTTCAGCTTTGCCATTGTGAAATATGAAAGCTGCATAGCTGATACGTGAATGAATGAATATGGCTGTGTTCCAGGAAAATTTTGTCTACAGTAACAGACAGCAAACAAGCAAGGATTTGGTCTGTGGGCCATAGCTTGCCGACCCCTGATCTCAAGCAATTTTTTCCCCCTGCCCTTTTTTATCTTTAATGACACTTTTTGAAGAAACCAGGCAAGTTGTCTCATAGCATGTCTCACACTCTGGATTTGTCTGGTTGGTTCTTCATGATTAGATTCAGGTTAAACATTTTTGTCAAGTTCTACATAGGTCTCTTAACCTGTTCAGGCTGCTATTACAAAATACAGAATGGATGGATGGATGGCTTATAAACAAGGCATTTAATTCTCACAGTCTGGAGTCGAGGAAGTCCAAGATCAAGGTGCCAACAGATTTGGTGCCTGGTGAGGGCCCACTTCCTGGTCCATAGACGACTGTCTCTTCACTGTGTCCTCACGTGGTAGAAGGGAGCTCTCTGGGATCTCTTTTTGTAAGGGCACTAATCCTCTTCATGGAGGCTCTACCCTCATGACCTAATCACCTCTCAAAGGTCTCACCTCCTAATACCATCACCTTGGGGGTTAGGTTTCAGTATATGAATTGGGAGGTGGCGGGGGGTGGGACACAAACATTCAGTCTGTAGCAACAGGTGTGTACTTGTATTGCATCCCACTGGGAGACTCTTGTCGGGCCCTAAAGTTTGATCCCTTAGTTTACTTGATGCTCACGTGACCTCTCCATTGTAAAGGTACATTTCACTGTGGTAATTAGTAAACAGTCTGCAGGGTAGACATTGAAACCATGTGACTATCTTACTGCCTCACAATTTTTCATCCAGGGATCATCTGGTCATCCTTACCTGAATCCATTATTGCAGTAAGCGTTAGAAAAAGGTGATTTTTTCTGTCTGTGCACTTTTATTAGCTGGTACTCTGAAGAAGCACTGCTTCCCTCCTTTTTTTTTTTTTTTTTTTTTTAACCCATGTCCCTTTAGTATCACTGTAAATTCCTGATTTTTAGTTTTATTCAATATGTCATAGTCCATCATTTACATTCTTTTTGATACTCAAAGGGTCTTAATTTGGCCAGGGAGGGCCTTCAAGATGGCCCCCATCTATATCACTTTCTGAGTACTTCCTTGCTGTGGCCAAGCTATTGCAGGCTCATCTTGTGCTCTGTCTCAGACTTGGAATTAGCCATTTCCCCAAGGAACCCAGTTCTTTTTTGTGTCTCTGGTTGTCACTGTTAGAAAGAGCAGTCAGTTTGAAAGGCTAAATTGTTATCTATTTTATAGGGCACTTTGTGGTTTATGGAAAGGGCTGAGCATGTTTTCCTTTTTGTGGCCATGTGTATTTCTTTTTGTGAATTGCTTATTCAAGCCTTTGGCCCACATTTATTTTGGCATGTCGATCTTTTTCTTGTTATTATTTGAGTTCGTGCGTTAAAGCATTTAGAGTAGTGCCTGGCACACAGTAGGGTTAGCTGCTGTTACTTGGTATTCATCCTTTTCTGGAAGTATCAAGAGTGACTCTTAAACTCCCTCCCCGGACAAAGGCTGCTCTTCTGCAGTCGCTCGGAGAGCTCTGCCTGCCTCTAGGGGTGCTGCCTGCCACTGCCCAGTTGATGGGTCTGCACGTGATACCTCCCCTACTGTTCACTCCACTCTGGCTCGAGGTCTTACAAATGGGGGCCGGCAGCCAACCCCACTGTTAAGAGGCCCTGGCCCCGAGGCAGTGTGTAGCCCCTCGGCAGAGGAGCGGGGCCCAGAGCCCAGCAGCTCACTGCTCCTTTCCCGCTCTACAGGAGGTGGACTGGGAGGTGGAGCTGGCTGTGGTCATTGGAAAGAAAGGCAAGCACATCAAGGTGAGGTGGAAAGGGCAGTGCCATCCATCCCTGGCATTGGGAGGCGGTTGGCATCTACCTGCTCCTGACCCTGCCTTGCCTCTCATCCACCACCTCTGGCCACTAACGTGGGACCAAGGCTTTGAGATCCTTTGTTACAGGGGTTGGTGTCCTCATGATTTAACCTCCAATCTGGCCAAACCCCCTGCCCCCCATAGGCCACAGATGCCATGGCCCATGTGGCTGGCTTCACTGTGGCACATGACGTGACTGCTCGTGACTGGCAAATGAGACGCAATGGAAAGCAGTGGCTGCTGGGAAAAACCTTTGACACCTTCTGCCCCCTGGGCCCTGCCTTGGTGACCAAGGACAGTGTAGCAGGTAGGTCTCTGACAGCCCACTGGGTGACTCCTGTTGCTCTTAGATACATCAGTGAAGAGAAAGCAGCTTTCCGGGAAGTGGGAGTGAGGGGCATGGCTCCACGCGGGCCCCTATCCCCGGCTGCCCTTTCGTTGATTGCTTATATTAGAGCAAATCTCTCAACGTGGGCCATGAGTTCTCCACTGGGCCTCCCCCTGTCCCCTCACCCCATAGGGAGCTGCAGTTGCAGAGGTGGTGAATCTGCATTCATGAAGTGAATAACGAAGCAGTTCTCTCAGGATGGGTGGGTCAGGCTTCCTCTAGCTGCCACCATCTGGGAGAGTCTTTAAGTTGGAAAGCAGCAGAGCTGCCCTTTGAGCATCACAGAGAACGGCTGTTCCAGAGCCCCCTGCACCTTCACTGTGCCCTTGCTGCTTGTAGCTGCTGCTGCCTGCCTACATGGTGGCTGAGTGAGGTCCTGTGAGAGCCAGGAAGAGAGACGGTGCTTAAGAGGACAGACCACAGCCATCTGGGTAGGGCCACGTCCATGCAGTTCAGCCTTATGCCACCCCGTGCAGTCAGTCATCAGAGAAGTTAAATGGTGATCCCTGGGGGGGGGGGTGTTTGTGAATGTGTAAAACACCGAAAAGTTAAAAGTACTGTCTACTCGGGACAGTATTACAGGTAAGCCTTCAGGTGCAGGAGTCTTCACTACTCCTGCTTGTGCCAAGTCAGCCTCTGCTGTGGGTAGACCTCTGTTTCTTAAGGCAGAAACAGCCATTTTTCTCTGCTCCTTGAGAGTCTGGAACATCCCCTCCTTAACCCACCCAAGGGACCACTGGCAGGCACTCTGCTCTGTGGTGGATACAGGGAGGCCTGAGGAGGCCAGTGTCCACACACAGTTCCAGGGTAGGGAGTGCCAGGACCAAGCACAGGGAGTCCAGCACACAACCCTCTCACCTGGCGAGTCACAAGGTCTCCTTGTGCTTTCATTTTCTAGCTGATTGGGAGGGGTTTGAGGGAAAGAAGGGAGAACCCCAAAGTGGTGTTTTTGCATTTCAGATCCACACAACTTAAAGATCTGCTGCCGAGTGAATGGGGAGGTGGTCCAGAGTAGCAGCACCAACCAGATGGTGTTTAAGACAGAAGAGCTAATAGCCTGGGTCTCCCAGTAAGTGGGATGGAGCCCTGCCCCCCAACACCCACCTGGAGGCTAAACCGAGCGCTCCATGGCAGGCTGTAGCCACCTCGGCCCCTGGTCTCACCTGGCCCTTTTGCCCTAGGTTCGTCACTCTTTTCCCAGGGGACGTCATCCTGACCGGGACCCCCCCAGGTGTTGGTGTATTCAGAAAACCTCCTGTCTTTCTCAAGGTAGGTTGGCTAAACGAGGAAAGGAAGAAGGCCTGGCAGGGTGGGCTCAGACTTGAGAAATCCAGGCCTGTGTATGTGCCACACCAAAGGACTGACCGCCTCACGGCCCACTCTATTGCAGAAGGGCGATGAAGTCCAGTGTGAGATCGAGGAACTAGGTGTCATCGTCAACAAGGTGGTGTGACGGGCTCTACCGCGGGCCGTGGACTTACGACGAGGTGGGGGCATCCGTTCCCACTGAGCCCAGCACAGGAAGAGGCCCAGTGCCAGCCCCTGAGTAGCTCCTCTTCCAGGTAGACGAGGAGGAGATGGTGCTCTCCTCCTCAATAAACTTCTTTTTGGCTTCCTTTAGGATTTGTTTCAAGGAGTGAGATAGGGCATTCTCACACAGTGGGGAAGGAAAGAGCAAATACCCACAGTCACACCAAAAAGAAAGACACTGCTGAGCTTGGGAAAAGAGGACTCATCCAGTCCTCTCGTTTATCACACCAGAGGATGCGGAAAGCAAGAGATGGCGAGGGGCAGTCAGACCTCAAAGATGTTATAGTCCAGCTGAGGGTTTGCAGCTCCTCCCAGGCCAGCCTTCTGGCTCCAGGGCACAGCTGTGCTCTGGGGCTGGGAGGTCTCAACGCTGGCCCCTCCTCCTAGTTCTAGTTACAGATGAACTGCCGGATGAACCGTTCCAGCTTTTCCTGATTGTCCCGGCTGGCAAAGGTGGGGGACAGGTGGAGCATGGGGCCTGCAGGGCTGGGCATCTGCTGCAGCACCTGGGCCACGGAGAAGGGCTCTGAGCGCTCGCCACGGGCGCTGTGCCCCTCCCCTGGAAAACTGCAGTGAGACCTGTGGCCCCGTAAGCCTTGGTGTTTGAGGGCAAACGTTGCCTCTCAAAACACCCCCAGGGCCCCACCCGGGAGCAGAATGACCCAGGGGTTTGGGAGACTGAGAGGGGCAGGAAAACTGTCCTACCTTCTCCAACAACTACTATCACCACACCTACTCGGAGACGCTGGGGAAATCCCAGGGTGGGTACAGCTGGGCTCCCTGAGCAGCTCTTTCAGGGTATGGGAGTGGGAGGCAGGGGGACAGAAGGGCGGAGAGACTGGCCCCTCTCACCCCCAGGTCTCTGAAGGTCCAGACGGCACTGATGGCGAGATTTGGGTCCACACACTCTGGAGGAAAGAGAAGTGAAGGCTATGGAAGGGAGCCCCGGGGCCCAGCTCCTCTCCTCTTGTCTAAGGACGGGACAACCAAAGGATAGGGCTCAAGCTGGACCCAAAGGCCTTCTCTGTACCCCTCAGCCGGCCTTCCTGGAATTGGGCTTTCACTGCCCACTAGGGGGAGGCAGCCACCAGCAAAACTTCCTCGCCTCCCAGGGCCTGGGCTGGCTGCTCGGGACTCACCGAAGAACCCTTCCTCCTGGGCGGTGGCCTCTAAGAACCGCAACAGCTGCTCCGCGTAGCCCGACTCTGTGGGAGAGAGAGGTCTGAGGCCTGGGGCCCCGCACAGGCAGGGCCCCCACCCTGAGCGCTCAGCCTCTCAGGACGGCCGCAGTCGCGCGGGCCTCACCAGTATCTGGCAGCTGGCCCCGGTGGAGGAAGGTGGCAGCCTGCGCAAAAGCCTGGAGCAGCGGGCTGAGCAGGCGGCAGAGGAAGAGGAAGAAGTCAGGGCAGCGTGACTGCTGGCTGAGCTGGAGGGGGACAGGCCAGGGTGAGGGCAGCTCCCACTGCCTCCCTACGGCCCCCCCTCCCCTGATGGCTTTTCCCAGCGCACCCTGAAGTACCGGCCCTCAGCCTCCTCGAAGTCGTCGCTGTCACTGTCGGTAAAGTCCCCACTTGGTTTCCACAGCAGTTTCGCACTCAAACGCCGCCGCCCGGTGTCGCAGGCTGGCCGGGAGCCTGGGGTCTGAGGGCCGTGGGAGCCGTTGGTCCCCGTCAGGCTGGCCAAGGTTCAGCCCCGAGGCCCCCAGGCCGGGCGCATGGCCAGCCAGGGAGGTGAAACCAGCACACGCAGACCTGGGGAGCCCAGGAGGATGCCCCAGGCCACACCAGACCATCACAGCTGCGGAGCCAACTTGTGGGGTGAGAGGAAGTGAGCACCCACCCTCAAGGGCCACAGCCCCCGTGGACAAGAAATGTGGAGGGCGGGGCTTATGCAGAAACCCTCAGGTGCATTTGTCCAGTCCTGTCACTGTAGCTACACACGAGCCCAGGGCAGATGCGGTCTGACAAGTCCCATGGCGGAGAGTGGCGAGGCGGGGACCAGGTTTCTCTCTGCTAGGCCAGGGGCTGTACACACACACGCACCCCCCCCCCCACACACACACACACAAGCCAGAGGAGGAGCCGGGGCCGCTGTCACTCGGTGGGAGGCTGAAGGAGGCCAGACCCTGGGCAGGGGCTTTGTCTCCAGCTGCCCTTCCTACCTCCTCGGCAACTAGGAGCCCACACTGGATGAGGCGGTCCAGCACCTCCTGACAGTAGCAGTAGGAAGACTGGCAGGGCTGGGGAGAAAGAGGCACCCATGTGGCCTCAGGAGAGCCAGGCAGGGGCCTGGCCAGAGACGGAGACCAGACCTACTGCCGCAGCACATCTTAGGGTCAGGGCTCGGGCAAGCATGGGCCCTCTCCTACAGCCAAGAAGGGGAGGCCCAGGACTGAGCTGGGCTGGTGGGAGAGGCCTGACCTGCAGCAGCAGCAGCTCCTGCGGCAGCAAGTGCATCAGCAGCAGGATCTGGTGGTACAGCTGGTTCTGGCTCAGCAGCTCGATGCCCTGCAGCTCCCAGGGTCCCTCAGGCAGCACCCTGCCCACCAGCAGCCCCCACACGGCACAGGCTGGGGGAGGAGGGGCCAAACGTGAGGAAGGAAGCCAGTCCCCTCACCCCTACACACATCCCACCCATCCCAGGCCCTAGGGACTCACCACCCACGGCCTCGCTCAGGAAGGCGGGCAGCATCTCGGAGCTCAGGCGTGCCAGGTGCGCGAGGCCTGGGCCGGGCCGCAGAACCACCAGCAAGTCCCCCTGCTGGACGCGCAGCAGGGCCACGTGCGGCCGCAGCAGGCTCAGCGTGTGCTGCACCAGGCACTGCAGCTGCCCTGAGAAGCCCACGTCAAAGCCACGCAGCAGCGTCTCCTCTGTCAGCCAGGAGAACTCCCCCAGGAGCTGTGACAGGCACACGCCCTGGGTGGGCAGTGAGGGGCTCAGCAGCAGGGCCACGCCTCCTCCCCCAGGCCCCCACCCTGCCGTGCCCTACCTTCTGGTGCTTGAACAGCAGCAGCGTTGCCATGATGGCCGTGCTCATCACCGCCGAGCTCGCCACGCAGGCTAGGGCCAGAGGTGCAGGGGTGCTGCTCAGGGGCAGAGGCCTGACAGCCCGGGCCCTCCGTCACCAGGCAAGCCTTCCCAGTCCAGCACACACCTCCCTGGCAGCAGCCACATACACACCCCCATACGACTCCACCCCTGGGAAGGGGAGAGCAGGCTTGGTCCTTGGGTGCCACCCTCCCCAGTGGAGAAGTGGCGTTTACCAAATACATGTTGAGAGCCAGGCTGGGAGCTCAGGGACCGTCCCTGCCTCTTGCAGATCTACTACCCACCAACCCACAGTCTCTGCCACAGAAGGGACACTTGAGAAGATGGTAGTAACAATGCTGTTAAGAGCCCCCTCTGTGCCAGGCACTGTTCGTCCCTTACCTACATTGTTCAGTTCAGCTAATGTCACCTCAAGAGAGTGAAGTGACGCGCCTGAGGCCGGGCTGGGCGGCCACCTGTGTGCCCTCACTTAGCGGCTCCATCATGTCCTCCCTGACTGGCCCCCTCCTCAGGGGCAGGGGAAGGTGTTCCACTCTTCTTCACATGTCCCAAGTGGGCCACGCAAGAGGGGGCAGGTGCAGAAACCCACCTGGAAAGGAGGGCCCTGACGACTGGCCAGCTCTGAGAAAGAGTGTTCAGGAACCTCCCTCAAAGGCCAGACCGAGGTTCCCCTCACCATTCAGGACGTGACAGCTCAGCCTCCTGACCAACAGCTGGTCCTCTTCCTTCAGGGCCAGAAGGGGCCCGGTTACTGGGGTCCACTCCTGCACCTTCTCAGTGTCGGGGACGACAGTACTGGGATAGAGACACAGATCACAAGATGAAGGGACCAAACCTAAAAACAATCATGGGGGAGCCCAGAGCTTTCTCAAACGTGAGGGCGTTTCCTATCCCCGAAAGAGGTGGCTTGTGTAACCCTAGTCCTTTCCAGGCCTGTGTGCCATAACCCACACTCAACTTACAGGCGAGGAGGGTGCCTGGCACGGTTTGAGATGACCCAAGTTATTTGGTGGGGGAAGGCTGGAGCTGGTGATGTGTTTGTGGTTCTGGGAGGAGAGGGTGCCAGCTCATGAGCTAGGGCCTAAGAGCTGCCTGCCTTGCCCCTGAGACCCTCATCTTCCTCTGCCCTTACCACTGGCCCAGCACGATGGGCTGCAGCAGCTGCTCCAGGGTCTGCCTGCTGCCCCAGCAGCTTCTGGCGTTGACGGTGTATTCCTGCCCAGGACAAGGCTCTTAGGTGGTCTGCCCTGGCCCACCAGGAAACCTGCATACAGCCCATCTGAAGTAGGTAACACTACCCCTGAAGTGGCCTTGAGGGCCAGGCCACCAGAAGCCCTAGGACAGACCCCAGGTACTCCCAGCCTTGCCCAATGGGGTCCATACGTGCAGGGAGAAGGGCTGGGCCAGATGCACACGGACGCAGGCTCGGCGGCTGCAGCCCCAGCCTCGCAGGCTCCACAGGACAGCCAGAGCTCCGGTCCACAGCCCCAGAGGGGCCGAGGCCTGCAGGGAGAAAGGGGCTGGGGGAGCCAGCTTGCCTGGAGCACGCTTTCTGCTCAACTTCATCTTGGGCCCAAACTGCTATATGACCATGACCTCTCCAAGCTCATTTTCTCCCCTGTGAAACAGGAGAAATCCCTCCCTAGCAAGGTCTTTTGAGTATGAAATGAGAGGATAACTGTAACAGCCTTAGCAGGTGCCACAGGACAATGACCGTGGGGCTGAAATTCCTTTGCACTCCCCACTTAGCCAAGCCCTGAGGGGAACTCAGCCACAGACACAATATTGTGCCTCCTCTCTGGAGATGGTGTCCACTTAGGTACCCAGGGCAGGGGGGTCTCACGTGGTATGTGTCACGGGGTGCATCTGGAACCAGGTCGTAGGTGATGGCCACTGGCACCAGCATAGCATCTGGGACGATGCCCACCTGGACCGCCTGCACCACCAGTCCCAGCCACGTCTGACCCAGGGCTGACAGCCGAGGCCCTTGAGCCCCAGGCGGCTCCTCCAGGAAGATGAGCAGGGGCTGCCCGCTGACCAGC